TCCGGTTGGTTGGGTTGGTTCGGTGGTGGGCGGAGCAAGCCGTAACTTGAACCTCCTCAGCTGCTTCCACCGCAAAGACAATGAGACTGCTACTGCGGCTGTTCTCCTTCCTCGCCTAAGATATTGCGAGACATGCTCTACGGCTCTCGCCGTGTCTTTTAATGAAGCGATCGCCGTTCGAAGGTCACCACCTGAATGCGCGGACATGAGCTGTTTTCATTCGCTCCCCTTCCCCTCTTATCCCTGAGCTTTTACCAGCTGGTTAACCAGCAACGTCTTCACAAGTTCACAAGTTTTTTGGTAAACGGGTTTCGATGGAGGGCAGGGGCCTGAATCCCAGCCTTAGCTTGGATTTCCCGGGCGGTCCAACCAGCTTGGATCCTCCTCACCTCAATATCCTCAAGAGTTCTGACCAGCCGCAACTTCAAGATGAAACCTGAGCAACAGGAGAAGAGGTCACTGACACCGCGCAACCACCGCCCTGACATCTTCCGTCACTCTGGGTGGTATAAAAAGTCCTGACTGGCATCGTTATCCCCACTCTTCATTGCCCACTACTTTCCACCCTCACTACTAGCTATCCTCTCACATCCACCTTCACCCGTCATGGATTTCGGCGATGAATCTGGCTTTTCCCAATATCAAGGTGTGTATGACATCCTTTCCGTCTCTTATTCCCACTCTTTGCAATTTTCTGACATCCTTTTCTTATAGGGATGACAAACCAATTTCCTAATGGTGAGCATCCGTCTTCCTCCTCCCTTGGTCCCGCATGTACCCCTCCCTTTGCTCGCCACTAGACGAGCCCGACTATACCGCGCGCCTTCTCACACATCCTCCTCAACACCCCTCGAAATCAAATCTGATATCATTTCTCTTTTAGCGAACAACGCTCCGCTTCCTCTTCCGCAGCCCATCCGAACAGACTTTGATCACCCGAATCAGGCGTTTGTCCAACAATGTTTCTGTCATCTACCTCGAGACCGCGCATGCCAACTAAGACTGATTGTACAAAACATGATTGACCAATTCTGGTGGAGGCAAGGGCAAAAACCCCCGTTACCAACTGAGCTCGATCAGTTTGTGGAGAAGGCAAATCCGGGATTGTACCAATGCTTCTTCTGTATGCTCATACATAACAGTCGACAAGGTGCCCACGGCTGTGTCAAGATACACATGAACATCAATTAGACATTCGCACACCCCCGACATCAACCTGTTGTCAGCTCTTGCATATACTTCTTTCCCTGGGCTTTTTCACTCGCACCGACATGTCACCCGATTTTTAACCATTGTTATTTAATCCGCATTTTTTTTCTCTTTAAGGCTCTTTATTTCATACGCCCAATGCCATTTTATCATTCCATTCACATCCACAGCATGTTTGCAACAGCACTTGCCCATACGCATCACCTGTGTCTTTTTAGCATCTATAATACTCCGTTGTACTTGCTATCTATCCAGATATATAAAATTCTTTTCCCAGCGAAAGCTTTTGGCGATACGGTTGAGTTCATTGAAACGTTATTACGTAACACAAACCTTGTCCCCTTAGTCATTCCCTTGGCTTCGTTATAGAGAGAACCCAGCTAGCCTGGAAGGAGAAGCAGAAGTTTGATGCTCAATGTAAATCTTTAAAGTCGGTTAGCTGCATCTCGTTGTCTAGCTGACCTGTACTGAATGAGTGGTGCCTTGACAGGATGATCGTCAGTCGGATTCGCTAGCCTCTTCTTACTCAGAGGAACAATATGCTGCATACTACTGCAATTAAACCTCTCTATGGCCGCTGCTTGCTTTCCCAAGCGCCAACTGTCTATATAGACCACCCGAGCGACCAGGATTATTCACCCTGGGTCATCTTCACAATACAGTCACTCAATCTAGGTGTGAACAGGGAAAGTAAACATCCAGTGAGCCATTATCCAGAACCGAGATGTGCTCGCTCCTCTGGGGGGCCCTGCTTTTCTCCATTGGCTGAGTGCCAGCACAATCAAGGTTTATCGTGTCTCACTCTGGACACTAGTATTCATGTCAGGAATGTATCAACCAGACCCAGTTTCGTATATAAACCAGGCCAGAGTAGAGTGACGCCAGGACCCTTTAATA